CCCAGTTGTTCAACTTCTTTCCTTTTGCTTCCCCAACCCTTAGAGTGCACGAAGCAGCTTGGGCAGTGACGAATATCAGTCCAAAGGATACAGGAGCAGTGACAAAACTCCGGGCAAACTCAATGTCCCCTCCGGGCAAACTCAATGTCCCCTCTTTTAGCCTTTTTACACGGACACACCCAATTCCTAGCACCCACTCCACTGGAAACACTTAGCATGGCGTTCTGTTTTTCCTGTGTAGCTTTTATACTACTACAAACATTTAAAAATAATCTTAGTATCTTCTTTATTTCTTCCCTAACAGCAAGGGTATAATGTTCCTTATTTGGGAGAATCTGTGGTTAGATTCAGGAGCTGGTCAATACCAGTTTCTTTGGTTGGAAGTGACAAACAGACTCAAGTAAAGAAAAAGGGAATCTCGGGGAAAACAAGAGATGCTTAGAGAGCGAATCAAAGGTGACTGTTTGGAAAGGATTGGGGGAAACCAAAGGCTCTGGTGAGAGCTTCAAAGTAGAAACCTTTGACTGGCACCTGGAGTCAGTGGATTGGAGGAGGAAGGGTGTGGCTGACATGGAGTGAACCGACTTCCCTTCCCTCCTCGGTGAGGCTGTGTGTCTGGAAGGCAGATCCAGCCCCAGGAAACTGGGAGCAATTTCAAGAAGGAATCAGCAGGCTATCTTTTGGAGGTGGAAGAATGGATAATGGCCATCTGTCTAATACGACAAACTTTAGACAAGCGCTGGCTAAAAGGTCTCTAGCTGTGAATTACAATGCGTTTGTAAACTCAATGTTTTAATCAAAGAACCATGCCCTTGGGGCGGAATGCTCAGAGCAGTCCCCCCACACACCCCAAAAGAAGGTGTCGCCTTATCACTGCTAAGGGATTGGGACGAGCCCAGAGGAGGTTCCCATTGAATAGTCTTTGACAAATATTTAGTTATTATGCCCCAGTGAGTCTGCCTAAGCTCCAGGGATTCTGGTCTAGGTCACTTCCTTTACTTGCTGTCACCAACGTGGGGCTTAACATTATGAATTACTTTACATTACATTAACAGCCAGCACAATGGGGCATGCTGGCCTTTCCGACAGCCAGGAGACCCCAACTGCTGGTAAGTATCAAAGTGTTTATAAATAAAAAACAATTCTTCATTTTACCTATAGCACCACAGTAATTGAAAACAAAATACAAGTTTATGAAGTAGAGTGCGGGCCAGAGAGACTTATGTTTACAGTACCTTGCACGGCTGACCTGGGTTTAATTCCCAGCACCAAGTTTGGTCTTCTGAGTGGTCCTTAAGCACAGAGCCAGGAGTAAGTTTGGAGTGTCCCCCCTCAAAAACAAACAAACAAACAAACAAACAAACAAAAACCAACCCAAGGAGTCACGGAGGTGGTTCAAGGGGCCAGAGTGCATGCAGTCCCTAGGGCCAGTGTGCCCAGCGCAAAACAAGACGCAGAAAAAGCATGATCAGTAACCAAGAGACAGCAATTATTAATGTTGTTGTTGTATTTTCTTTCACTTCTAATGAACTGGATTAAAACAACTTGGCAAGAATCAAAGTTGCCAAATTTTTCTCTGCTTCTCCTTCTGCTACGTTGTTCTGACTTTTCCAGCGAGCTTTGCTTTTTCAGTAAGAAAAACAAACAAGACAGGAATGTATACAAGAGCAGAAAGTCTGTATGTCTTGTTCGTTCCAGGTATTTGTAGTTCTCAGAACCTCACTTGGCACACCGCAGGTCCCCGAAAAAAAATATTTCTGAATGACTAGGATTTCTGTCAACCCACCCCCACAACAACAACAACACAACAACACAACAACAATGAAATGAGACAAGATTGCTAAATGAACACAGGACCAAGAGGCAGCTGCGACGGGCTATTATTTCCTCCTGGTAAACAATTCATTTTGCCACAAGCCCTCATGACTTCTGCTGTCTTGCTATGGTCAACTGAATTGAAATTCTTTTTCGTTGGTTGTTTGTTTGGGGGGGGCGCACTTGGTGGTGCTCAAGTCTTACTGCTCGCTCTGCGCTCGGGAATCACTCCTGGTGATGCTCTGGAGAGCATAAGAGATGCCCGGGAGCAAACCTCCGTCAGCTGTTTGCAAACGCCCTACCCACTGTCCTAACGCTCTGGTTCGAACCTGCCCTCCATTTACAGTCTTCTGTACAGGAAAAAGCCTATGGAAAAACGCCAGGCAGATGGAGCTGAAGGCTCCAAGGAAATAGACCAAAGGCAACAGAAAGTGAGTCTTTGTGGGCTGGATGAGGGAGTGTGGCTTTTTTATCAGGGAGAGTCAAGGATTGACTAAAAGGGTTCAGACATATCCTGGCCTCTGTGTTTGTCAAACTGCAAGTTGTTGACTAAGCGGGATCAGGCAATGAACACACTGGCCTGAGCTGAAGCGTCTGCATCTGCAGGAGCAAGGCCATCTGCAGGGGCCCCTCTGCGTGCTTTCAGAAGGGAAATGACAGCCGGGAGAGCAAGGCCCCAAGCCGAGAGCAACACGCTCCGGTGTAACTTGCTCCAGTCTGCAGCCCAATGACTAGTTTGTAAGGCACTGACTGGACACCGAGAAAGCGACTTTGAGGGAGATCAAGGTCCTGTCTTGGGAGAGCAAGGCCGCCCCCGCCCCCACCCATCCACACACGGCCCCCCCCCCCCCCCGCCCCCTCCCTCCAGAGACCCGAGCTAAGAAGCCTGGGGTGAGACACAAAACCCAAAACTGAACAGTTAAGCAATTCGAGAGAAAACTGATCTACATTTTTAATGCCAAAAAAAAAAAAAGTGCCTGACTGGGAAAGGACCTAAAAAAAAAAAAGCTTAGAAAAACAGAATTCACAGATTCAGTTTAACAAACACCAAAAAATCCAAAGCTAACGAAATATGCTGCACATGATACTTCGGGATTAAGTGTATGACAGTGCTGGAATATTTTCATAAATTCCCAACATATCTGCTCATACTTCCTTCTCTGATCCTCCGAGAGAGCCGAGATCAGGATTTTAAAGCCGTATCACTACAATTTTTTTCCCCCTTTCAACCTTTTAAACATTTCACGGGCTTTGGAAATCATGCCTACTAATGAGGGAAAAAAAGAAAAATATATTAAAGGGAGACTGGAAATTGTCTGCCAAGCTTTCTCTTGCTGTGCCCTTTCAAGCAGAACTGTGAGACACAATTATTCTAGAACAAAGGTGGGCAAACTGCAGTCTTCGGGCTAAATCCAGCCGGCTGCCTATTTTTGTATGGTCCACGAACCAAGAATGACTTTTCCACTTTGAAGTGGCTGGGGGAGGGAGGGAAACAACATAATATTGTGACGTGGGAAAATCACGTTAAGTTCCAATTGCGTCGTCTATTAAAACTTTTAATGGAATACAGCCAGGTTCATCCATTTTATCTACTACTGTTTCCTCGCCAGAACGCGACAGAATTGAGGACTTGTCCCCCAAATTCTAAAATATTGGCGATCTGGGCCCTGGCAGACAACAGTGTGTTCTAGAACAACGTGTGAGGGCTGCTGTATTGTTCGAACCCCTTTTCCTCTCCTCATCGCCCCCTCCCCTTCCCCCTCCGCCGCCTTAGTCGCTGGCTAACAAGATTCCTGGGCCTGACACCCAGGGAGAAAGCGTTATAATAATGCATTGCATCGAAAAGTCGACAGCAAAGGGTACATTTTTATCTAAGGTGGGTCTGGCTGGTTCTGCCACCGACTCGTGTCCTGTCTGGGTTTGCATTCTGGACCATCGCGGCCCGGATTTCTTTGGAGAGCCACCCCCATGGGTCCCACGAAGGCATTTGGAAAACACGGCAGGAAGTTTGGGTTGGGGGGGTGCGCGGGGTGGGTTGCTTTTGTGGTGGTGGTGGTGATGGTGATCGCGGTGGGCTGTTTTTTTTTTTTTTGCGCGGGAAGCTGCGTTTCTCTGCAGTTCGGAGTCTCGACCACCTTCCCCCCCCCCCCCGGCCCGACCCCCCCCCCCCCCCCCCCCGCCTTCCCCCTTCCCAGCGTCCTCAGTCTCGCAGCCAGCGCTCTCCAACTCCCACGCACGGCTCAGAGGCTAGCGAGTTGCCAGGCAGCGCGGGGCCCAGGCAAATCGGCCCTTTCAGCTTCGCGCAGCTCGGGGCAGCTCGCCCCAGCTTCGCTGGCTTCACTGGGGGGGGGTCTCCCTGGGAAACCAACACTCCCCCCGCCCCCACCCCCCCAGTGGGTGACAAGAATGACTCAGCAGGGCCCGGGGCTGGAACAAGAAAGCCAAGGCAAGGGACAAAAAAAAAAAAAACCCTCCAGCAGGACGAGGCCGCAAATCATCGTTGCAAAGGCCCCGACTAGGCGCACAAATGCAAATGGCATCGAGGGAGCTCGGGCCGTCGGCTGCGCCGGCGATCGGAAAGCATTCGCGGCCCCGGAAGCTCCCTTTCCCCCCCCTTCCCAGCCCACCGCGGCCCGGCCGGGGCCCGGGCAAGGCCTTTCGGGGTGCACAGGATGGCCGTGCCCGGGATTATCGGGGAGACTCTTGAGGGCACAGAAATCTCTCGAGACTAGAAACCATTTTCCTCTCGCGCACGGAGACGGCCCGGCCGAGCGGCGGCAAGCTCCCCCCGTCCGCCCCCGCTCTCCCCGTTTCCCCTTCCCCCACACCCCCCCTCCTCCGCCACCGCCGCCGCGAGCGACCACGCCCAGCGGCCCCAGGGCACGCCGCCCCGGGGCGCGCGGCCCCCGCGCAGCCCGCACGCCGCGCCTCCCTTCGCCCCGCCCCCGCGCACCCCCATCCGCCCCCGCGGCCGACTCTGGGAGTGCTGGGCCGGCCCCTCGCGCCTGCGCCCCGCCAACTTCCTGCCGCCGGCCGCCCCGCCCACCCGGCAGAGGCCCGCCCCCCCCGGGCCGCGTGAAACTTGCCTGCGACACGTCATTGGTCGAGAGGACCGAGCCGTTGGCTCCCAGGCCCGCCCCTCCGCCGCCTCTCACTTTTCCCAGGACGGCTGCGCCTGCGCTCAGCTGCCTGGGCGGGCTGGGAGGCGCGGGTTGAAAAGTCTCGTTCCAAGTTTGGAGCGAGACAGAAGAGCGCTTCAGACCTCGGTACCCGGGGACGGGGAAGAGGCAGCCTAGGCGGAGGCAGCGTCCGGGGGACCATCCGGACCGTCGGCCGGGGCTCGGCTTCGACGGGCTCGCCGTGTGTGTGACGTGCCTGAGGAAAGGCACGGGCGCCTGCGGTTGGGGAGCTCTTGGCGAACGGAGGGCGTCCGAGGCGGCGGCGAGGGGCGAGCGACCCGACGCAAGATGGCGAGTAAAGAGAGTAAGAGGCCCCGCGGGGAGGCGCGCGCCGGGGCCGCGGGGGGCGGCGGGCGCGCGAGGCCGTGGCACGCGCCGGCGAAAGGCGCGAATTGGCGTGTGGAGCGGGGGGCGGGGCCGGGCGCGAGGCAGGGCGCGCGCCTCGAGGGGCCTACGCGGGACGCGCCGCTGGCGTAGAGGGTTCCGGGCACTTCCGGAGCCGGCCGCGGGGGCCGAGCGGCTTGGGCGCCAGACCCCCTCACTCCTTCCCCCTCCTGGCCCCCGCCCCAGCGGTGACGCTCCCTCCGGCGCTCCGGGGGCCCGCGCGGAGGCGGCCCCCAAACGCCGGAAAGCGGGCGCGGCGTTGGTGCCACGCGCGCGCGCGCGCGCGTCGATCGCCTCGGGGTCGCGGCCCTTGTCCGGGGGATTCTGGAATCCTCCGGCCGGCCGATGGCGGACAACGCGAGCTGCGCGGGAGCCGCCGAGGCCTCGCCGAGTGGGGGATGGAGGGAGCGGGCCGCTGGGTGTCTGCTGCACGTGGATTCCCCGCCGCGGGTGGGTCGCGGAGCCCGGCTGCCTCCGGGTCGGCATTTTCGAACAGGTGCGTACAGCTTGGCGAGCGGCAACGACCGACCGTCCGGGCATCCGTGCAATTGACCGATTCTGGAGATTTCAGGCGTTTCAACGGAGCTGAGTGCACAAACAGGCTGCGCGCGGGGGGGAGGGGGGGGCGGGGGGGTGGTGTTCTCGGCACGTTCGGGAAAGGCAGTTAGTTGTTGGGGTGCAAATTAGAGGTAAAGGGAAAAAGAGCAGATTAGGTGTGGCCGTCTCGAGGTGACCTCCAGGGTCCGTGGGCACCTCCCGACATCGAACTCTCTTCGCTACTACTTAATCCGTGTGGCCTTTCTCCGATTTTTTAGTGTTTGAAGACACCGTGGAGGAGCGTGTCATCAATGAAGAATATAAAATCTGGAAGAAGAATACACCGTTTCTGTATGACCTGGTTATGACCCATGCTCTTCAGTGGCCGAGTCTTACCGTTCAGTGGCTTCCTGAAGTGACTAAGTAAGGGTTTCTGGCTTTTGTTTTGCATAAATTTAAACTGCTGTGCTTAATTTCCAAGTTTGGGCGTTATATATACATTTTAGGCATATAATCCTTTTAGCCCTTGGATGAGACGGCAGGTGGTTTTTTTTCCCCCCCAATACGTAAATGATTTCTGACGTAGGAGTGTTGCGTTAAAAGGTGAAAAATCTGTTCTGACTATATCTTTGTATGTGACCACCCTATGTATTTGATTTTGGGGGCTATTCATCTCTCTTTTGGGGTCCTTGACTAGTGGATTTCTTTAAAGCTTGGCTGAAAAAGGCAAATGCACTGATTATGGCTTGATATTTTTCTATGAAGTGTGAACATACCCATTTGAATAGACTCTGAAGTTTTAATTTGCAAAGGGGGAAAGAATTTAGCAGCAGGTCACCATGGTGCAGTAGCCCCGGAGATAGCTGTTCATCATCATGTGACTTTATTTCACCTATTTTTTTCCCCCTAAAAAATCCATTCTGGCCGTGCTCTTCAGGATACTCCCTCGGAATGCCTATCTCGCTCGCTTGTCTGTATCTTTTCTTGCCGGTATCTACTCTGGAGAAGCCTGTGTTTCTCTTGAATAGATACTTCTCTTTTTTTTTATTCACATCTTTCTGAATAAATTTAAATTAAAAACTGTCTTGCTCTTCTCTCTCCTCCTCCTCCTCCTCCTCCTCTCACATACACAAATACACACAAATCCGTGCTAATAATTGCTGATGTTTGTTGAGCCCTGAGAGAAGGGCCTGGCAGAGCTGGAGTATACATCCTGTTATTTGGTTTAATCCTCACGGTAGTACTATGATTGCTTTTTTATCACTTGTTTTACTGATGTGGAAAATGGAACTGAGGTAGTAACATTTCAAGATCATACAGCTGGTAAGTGGTGGTGGGGTGGTGAGGGGCTTGTGATTCAAACCTGGACATCTCCAGAGTTGTGACAATTCCCGGGGTAAACTACTTTTTCATCCACTTGAACTTTTTGTAGCAGGAATCTGAACGGGTATTTTTGAAATGGCTTAAATTTGGGTATTGTGAGTATGTACTCTAGTGACTGATGAAACCCTGATCTAGGGAGGCGGGGATTTTCTCTTTGCAACAGGTTTTAAAAAGAACAGTTTTATGGAAAATTACTCCTTGTAATGATCTTATATGATAGTACTTTCCATATAGAAAAAGGGGTTCCAATGCGGTTCCTGGAAATCTCTGATTTGTACAGATGTGGCACGAACCGCTCAATACAGAAATCTCCAGACATTGACTTTTGTAACAGTTTTTTGAGCTTTGTTTAGAGCAGTTTCTTAACCTTTTCCCACTCAGACTCTTACAGCAGAGACCTGCAAAACTGCTGAGCGCTACCAGCAACACCTCAGATTCATTACTGGTTGGTTTTGGGTTAAATCTTGATCCTTGCGCTTTCAGAACTCTTTTGCTGGTTGCCAACTTTTTTTGCTCATCCTCCACCCCCTTCCTTGACCCATTGCAAACCACTGTTTAAGAAGTAAGGGTTTGGAACAGTCTGTGTTGGACTCTTTGTGTTCTGGTCAGCAGATTTAACACTTAAATGACTTACCAACTTTTGATTTTTTTTGGCTTTTAGCATATTTGAATAAAGCTTAAGAATGGGGGCTTTTATTTATTGCTTTTATAAAGTTGTTTACGGTGCTTTATTACAGTCACTGTTCCAACACCAATCCCATCACCATTGCACCTTCCCACCACCATTATTTCCAATTTTCCCAGACAGGGGCTTTAAGGCTAGAAACCTAGCTTTGAATTCGCCTCCCCTGCTTCTTGGTGAATTCATTGTGTAGGGTTTTGTTTTTCTTTTTTTTGTCCTGGGGGGCCACACCCTGCCTTGCCTCAGGCTTACTCCTGCCTCTGCTTCCAGAGATCACTCCTGGTGGGACCACGCAGGGTGCTGGGGATCGAACCCAGTTAACCTTATGCAAGGCAAACGCCCTCCCTGTCTGTGTCTCTGGCCCCTTAGTGAATTAGGACTTCATCGGTCAGTCTCTATCCCAGAGTTGTCTGGTCTGTAAATAGAGGTGCTGAAAGTACTAACTGCCTTCATTTGAGGGAGTTAAATTAAGATCCTATTAGCTTGCTAGTATAATCAGTGGTGGCCAATATGATTCTCCCACCCCTCCCCTATCTGAAAATAATTTGTTAGAGTCAGATAATTATTTTTCCATTTGGGTTTTAATGAAAACTGCTTATTGAAGTCTTTAAAATGTTGCCTGTGTATTTTACATAAAGGTTGTTAAAGCTATTTTGTGCTTAGCTCAGAAGAATTACTTTTATATTAACACAATTCAACCAAAAAACCCACTTGAACTGAATTATGTGTTTGTGGTGGTCTTTGCATGCAAAGAAGTGGGATGTGGTGGGACTGTGGGGTGGCTCTGGGGTACAGTCCCAGAGAAAGGCAGTCAGTCTGCATTCTTGAGTGGTGAGGCTACTGCAGTGGGCTTCAGAGGTCTGGTTGGGGTAGAAAGGAACTGTGATTGTCTTTTGTCACTGTAGGGAACAGTAGAAATGTTGGTTTACTTTTGTTGCCTGGCTTTCTGAGAAACTTCCACTATTGAGTCCCTTAATACCGTCTGCCTCCATAGAAGAACATGCTTCCAGATGGCTAAACTTTTCTTAGCTCTTTTCCTTAGGGATAATTAATTGTCCAAATAATTGATTTGGCTTTTAACGGCCCCCCCCAAGTATATAGCAGCTCAGTTGTCAATTACTTGCTAGTGATTTTCAGTCAGGTTGCTTACATATGTTTACTTGTTTTAAGGGCTCCATAGAATTTCATTTATGGATAGAATACAATTCATGTCACAAGTTTGTTATTGATAAATGTTTATTGAGGTTTTCCGGTCTAAGTTCCTGCTACAGGCAGTGCTGTTGAAAAATCTTGTGATAATCTGTGGCTGTTGGAATCTTTGAAAAAGTAGAGTGATTTTGCCCTGAAACCAGACCGGGTCTTTTATTATTAGTGTTTCTGCAGTTGAGGCTACTTCTATTGGGGAGAAATATGGTGTGACATTGATTAGTTCAGGCTTGTGTCTTACTGATAGGTGAAAGGCTTGGTAATCAATTCATGTGTGGTGGTTATCTTAAGGGAAACAGGAATAACTGAGTTTTTGAGTTCTGAGATTCCCCCCCCCCCCCATATCGTCCAGCTCAGTGTGTGACCATGCTTCTTTGAAAGGTCCTGCAGTGAAGTGACATTTTCACTTGTAACCTTTGCCTGGTATTAGTCTTCTTGCTTGAAGCTCACAAAAAGCAAATTATTGCCTTTCATGTCAGCTGATGCTATTTTTCTGTCATTCCTACTTTCTAAAGGATTCTCATGAACTAACGTTTGTTCTCTTTAATGTGGAGCCACTGTTCCTAGTCGAGGTTTCATTTTATCTTACGTTCCACGTCCTCCAAATTCATATGTTCATTGCCAAGAATTTTCCTTTTTTCCCCTTTCATTTTGTTTTTGTTTTTGGGCCACACAGCGCAGTGCTGGAGGGAACACGTGCCAAGGCGTAGCGCCAGAGCTCCTGCGTGTTCTGCATGCGCTGCAGCCCTTCAGCCCTCTATCTCCCTTGGCCCCACAGCCTGCTTCTCTAATTCTTTCAGTTAAAGGAGGTGTGCTGCCTCCCCCATAGAAGCTCATCAGGGATGGAATTCGCGTCTTTTTTCTTCTTTTTGATAGCCACATTATATTCTTGGCCAACTGAACATGTATCTATTAAGACCCCAGTCTTTTTGGCTTTCGGTTTTTTTTTTGTGGAAGGGACCTCCCAAGAAGTGCTCAGAAGAATGGTGGGGGGCATTCTTGGCCAGCCTGGGGATGTGATGCTGTTGGGGCTCAGAATTGCTCTGGGGGCCCCCACAGTGCTTGGGATTTCGACTCCTATGCGATGAGCTGTCTCTGCTGCCTGGGCCTCGGTGCTCCAGAACTAACTGCTATGTTACCTCCTGTTCTTGGAGGCGCATATACATTTGTTTTCTTTTTTTTCCACCTTAAGGAAGTTTTGTGGGGGGTTTTTTGGGGGGTGGGCACACTGAGGGATGCTCAGAACTTACTTTTGGCAGGGGTGGGGGACTATGGGATGGAACCCTAATCAGCTGTGTGCAAAGCAAATGCCCTACCTGCTGGCCTCCGCTTAAGGCAAATCCTGGTAAGATTTTATCTTTTGTTGTTGTTACTGCTAAACCATATGCTTAGGAGTAAACTTCAAACCTTTTAAACCAGAGTCCCTTTTTTTTTTTTTTTTGGCTTTTTGGGTCACACCCGGCTATGCTCAGGGTTTACTCCTGGCTTTGCACTCAGGAATTAATCCTGGAGCTTGGGGGACCATATGGGATGCTGGGAATCGAACCCGGGTCGTCCACGTGCAAGGCAGAAGCCCTACCGGCTGTACTAATCGCTCCAGTCCCCCCCTCCCCCAGTCCTTTTTACAGCTGAAATTTAGACACAGATGAGTAGTCTAGCTTGTCTGGTGTTGGGCCCAAAGCAGTGCTGCTCTCTCTGCTTTCCTTGCTGAGGTGGGAATCTTTTTTTTTTCCTTGCGTTTTGGGTACACCCGGCTATGCACAGGGGTCACTCCTGGCTCTGTACTCAGGAATTATTCTTGGTGGTGCTTGGGGGACCATATGGGATGCTGGGGATCAAACCTGGTTGGCCCTGTGCAAGGCAAACATCCTACTTGCTATGGCTCCAGCCCCCCCCCCCCCGCCCCCAGATTGGAATCTTAAGCATAGGTGAAAATGAACACAGAGCCGGGAGCGTGCCCTCCTCCCTAGCACTCCTTGGTGTGCCCAATACCACCCCTCCAGTGCTATTTTAAGCAATAAATGGCAAAGTATGACAGTAGATTCAGATGCAAAATAACTGCAGGGTTCCCAGGGTGAGGGTCCACAGAACAAAGGCCCAGTTTGGGGAAACTGAGGATCTCCATTTCATAAACATTAGGCACTGTAAACATCAGTATGGGAATTTTATGTCACAAATGTATGTATTTATAACCTGTTTGGTAAGCCTGAGCCCATAAGGAAGTTTTGATTTAAAAATCACATATAGCTGGATCAAAATTTTAATTTGATCCAGAATTTAATTCTACTGTTTTCTGACTCTAGATTCTCTCCGTTATAACTTGTTGCCCTTTCTTGGGAAATCAGTAACATCTAGGGTATTAAAATGGAAAGAGCCAGGGAGAGTACAGGGCTTGGGACTTGGGCCTAGTGTGTGGCCCACATGGTCCCTGCATGCTACCCAGTGTGGCCCACCCCCCCCCCACCCCAAAAAACCAAGAAAATAAAACAGTTTTTTTTTTTTACCCCCGATAAAATGTCATGGTTGGTGAGTGAGTGGGTCAAAGTTGGATGCCTGCTTGCTGCTCGTGGAAAGGTGGCGCTGTCTGGACTGCAGCAGAACAGCGCCTGGGGAGTCAAGCGAGCCTTCTGAATGTGTGCTTGAATCAAACGGAAATATTTGTACCTGTGTTGAGTATAAATTTTGTGTGGGTAGAAAGAAAATTGGTACTTGGTACAATTAGCCCTTGAACAACATGGGCTACCTGGACCCAACCCCAGCACCCCCCCGCCCCCAACAAATCACAAATCCATGATTAACTTTTGACTCACCAAGAGTCCTTTGGTATCTGCAGCAGCATGGCTTTAGGAGCTCCCCCACCTCCTGCCTTCATACCCAACTCTAGGGAATCTTAAATTCCTTGTAGTTTAGCCCTCCTTATTTTTATTTCATTTTAATTTTATGTGGGGGTGGGGAGGGCCATACCAATGATACTCAGGTGTAACTATTGGCTCTGTACCGAGGAATCACTCCTTGACGGGATTCCGGGTATGTTCATTGATAGGATAGTATATTTGGGGGAGCCGAGATCTAGTTAGCAACTGATTTCTTAAAGTATCGATGTGACTTCTTTTCTTTCTTAACAGACCGGAAGGAAAGGATTATGCCCTCCACTGGCTAGTGCTGGGAACCCATACTTCCGATGAGCAGAATCATCTTGTGGTTGCTCGAGTCCATATTCCGAATGATGATGCGCAGTTTGATGCTTCCCACTGCGAGAGTGACAAGGGGGGTAGGTATCCCATACAGTCCACTCTGGACATCGAAGGGTGATGCCGCTGATTATGTTGCTAAAACGATGCTACTAGCATTTGGCCAAGTAGTTCTAACTTCTAGAACTTGATCTTACAGATCTACTCGCCCATCGTGTGCACAAGGATTTCACGATAAATAGCGTTATTCACATGATTGAGGGATTAGGGTGGGGGGGCCAGAAAGATAGCAGCCCGAGGCCTATATTTTCAAGTGGCAAGCCCACGTTCCATCCCTGGCATATGGTCCCCCGAGACTGCTGGGCATGATACTCAAGCACTACCGGGAGTGACCCCAAAAGAAAAACCGGCATGAACGTAGCAACCCAGATGCTATATACATTGTGCTATATATGCTATGTTTCCTGCATTCTGGATGTAACAGTGAGATAAATCGATGAAATTTGGTGTGGTGATAGCATCGGTTTGGTACAAATGATAATGTATGTCAGTGTTCCAATCCAGAAAACAGGCATCTATACCAAGTAGTTAAGTAGGAGGGCTTTTAAATTTTTTTTTTTTAAATGAAAGCTGTCAGACCCTCCCAACACATTCCCTCTTTTGGTGTTCCCATAACCACCCAAGAAGTTTGTTGCAGTAAGGAATCCAGAAGCAGAGCAGCAGGAAGAAGATAGCAGTGGGGAGCGTGTCGGTGCTGCCCAGCCTGTGCCTTCTCTGACAGGCGGGGCATCGCCGCCCCAGGAGGCCCACTGGCCTGTCCCGGTCTGAGACTTGCAGTGGGGAGCTAGTTTGGGGGACATGTCCTGCTGGCGGTCAGCCATGACAACCTGAAGCTCAGTACCCCGATAAGGAAATTTAAGTGCCCACCCTGAATCTTGGTGTTTGTGCAAGGCAGTCCTAACAAATGGGTACTCGATGGTCCGTTGTTCCAGGTGCACGCCATAACATAATCAGGCCATCAGGGGCATAAGGAACATTCTGTGGTTCTTCTTCCTAGGAGTTAGCCTTTAGCCTAGGGACAATCATGGTTTCAGTGCCCCTTAGAACTGTGGGGGCTAAACCACCTGACCTGCTGGGTTAGCTGTTCTCAGAGTTTATTAATAGAGTTTTACAGTATTTATCTTAAGCTTCCTATTGACCATAAAACAGCTGAAGTCCACTTCTATTCTCGTTCTCCCATGACTTCCTCTTGAGAATTCATCATTACATTGAAATTTGTATTCAGTTTTCCACTATTTAGGTCTTCTCATACATTAGTGTAAAGAAAAAAAAAGAACAAAACAAAAAAAATGCCACCACCACAATGCTTTGAAGCTTTTAATTCATTTTTTATGTTTGTATATATATTTATATTGTATGGGTATCTGTTTTTCCTAACTTCTTTAAAGTATTCTATTGTGGCCAGCTTATCCATTTTCCTATCAGGACAGGTGAGTTAGACCTGTGTGGTATCAACAGTGTTTCAGTGAATATTTCTGCCACGTCTCCTTAGACAGATATGGGAGAATTTTACTTGCTGGAGAAAAGGGTTTTGGTTGGATGATATATTGTCAGAAAATTATAAAACTGCTCTCCAAAATGATAGACCCAGCTTACCACTCAACAATTCCATTCCTCTTCAACTTTCTGCTTTCTGTAATTCTTGTGGTGAAGTTTTTTTAGTCCTTTTTCTCAGCTTCCAATGGAGACGTTACTGGGCCCGCTCGAGCAAATCGACGATCAACGGGAGGGCCTTTACCTTACCTTACCTTTACCTTTCTCAGCTTCAAAATTCATCTGTATGCAATTGTTATTAAATTGTTATTAAAGTTACACATCAGTATGTTCCTGCGAGTGGTTGAAGTAACACACCATTAAGAATCTTTTTAATTTTTCAGTTATGGTAATTAGTGGATTCTCATTGAGTTTAGTGGGGCTTTTTTCCCCCCAAAATTTTAAGTTTGAGAAAACTCCTTGTTGGGAATCGTTGTTTTCTGGACGCCCAGTTGGTGGACGGCAGGCTGGGGAGCGCGAGGGGAGGGCTGACCACACCTGGCAGTGCTTAGGGCTACTCCTGGCTTAAGGCCAGGGAGCTCACCAGGGCCTCCTGCATGCAAAGCATATGCACATTCTAGTCTGTTGAACTCTCTCTCCGAGCTTTGGAGTCCTGTTTTTGGTTGGTTGGTTTGTTTTGTTTAGCTTTTTTCCCCTGAAGAAGGGCTGTTCAAGTAGTTTTAGCAAAGGAATTGAGAAACGACAGTACCTTCAGAGCAGAAACATTCAAACCACTGGAGTCCACAGGGGAGGGGTGTGGAAAATGAAGATGAGGGGCAGTTTGGAGGCGGAAAGTTAATAGGGTCTGGAGGCATCTTGGAAAGGCCACGGCCTGTCGCTGCCATGGGCGCAGTGGGGCGATGGGAGGAGGTGGAGATTTGCATGGATTGTGTGGAACGGGATAGGCTCATTGGCGAACCCGGAATTCCACTCAGAGTATACTGAATACGCACACCCAATGTGAACATGGGGGCCGGTGTTCATTAAGAATTCCCACGTAGAAGCTGGCTCAGGCAGACATGGCGTCCTCTCCATGTCACTTCGCCAAGCCCAAGTAGGACCGCCCCGGTCCACAAGGCGGTTGAATTAGCTTTCCCTGACTTGAGACACGGTGAGCTAAAAAAGTAACGTATAAAGCAGTAACAGGAAGAAATACCACAATGATATCTATGGGCACAAAAAACTGGTTTGCGCATATCTGATCAGATGTTCTCAGACTGTGTTCTTTCTGCTGTTATCTTGCGGCTTCTCCAAAATTAATATTACTTTTTATGCGGCTCTGTTCTTTTTCCAAGGACTCTTTAAAAACTCTCAGAACTGTACTCTCACCAGATAGGGCCGTTTGTCCCCCTTGTTTCAGCTTTGCTCTACTCCACTGGCAGTTGAATCAGATAATGCTTTGTTGGAACCAGCGTGTATGTCTGAGGGGTGAGTGGAGTTAGGTAGCATGGATTTCCAGTTGGAGCGTTTCTAACTTCAGACTCCAGCATTTCGTTTTCTCATTGCTGAGGTAGAAGCCTGCCTCATCCAAGAAAAGATGCCACTTCACTACAAAAGTTGCAGTGAGTTTTGTTTGAACTAAAAAAAAAAAAGTGGTACATCAATTACATAATTGGGGTTGTAATGACTAGAGAGAGCACCTTCAGAAACTGAAGATGATTTTTGGTTGAAATCCAAGGTGGAATTGAAATGACTTGTATAAAACAGCAGGTATTTTCCAGTGCAAATGGGCTTTGAGAATAAATCCCAAGTGACAGACAGACGCCTCCCTCTCTGCTCATGTGTGTGCTATTCTATCATGTTAACCTGATAGCTTGGGTTGAACTTAGGTGACTTGTGAATTTTAATCTACGTGTATGTGTGTGTTCTTTCTTCTCACATTAGAATTTGGTGGCTTTGGTTCTGTGACAGGAAAAATTGAATGTGAAATTAAAATCAACCACGAAGGAGAAGTAAACCGTGCTCGTTACATGCCACAGAACCCTCATATCATTGCAACAAAAACCCCATCTTCGGATGTGCTGGTTTTTGATTATACGAAGCACCCTGCTAAACCAGGTATGTAGTAAGAACTGGGCAGTTTTTCTCGATTCCAAATAGTTGTTTTAAAGTCATTGAGACTAGTATATTACAATTTTCGTTCAAGGTTTCCAAGTTGTTTCCGGTGGTCTCCTAACCACCATCAGTTTCAGTGTACAGGAAGACTTCACAGCAGGTTACACTCCTGGCTGAGGTTTTTTATATCAGAAGTTTCAGAACAGAAGAAGAAAGAGATGCATCAGGGGAAATCTGGAGAGGTCAGGTAGCCTCTCGGGCACATTGCTCCTGGGGCTACACAGGCCTCAACTTTTCTCCGGCTGTAAACACTAAGAATATATGCACAGTAATTCTTCTTGGGGAAGTCCTTTCAGTCTGGGGTTTTGGTTTTTATTGTTGGGGTTTAGGGTTAGGTGACACCCAGCTTGGTGCTGAGGGCTGTGGGAGGGGGCGTGTGCTGCCAGGGATTGGGCTGAGGCCTGCTACGAGCATGGCAAGCCCCATAACCCTTGAGGGTTAACCCTTGGTTAATCTGATCCTAGACTTGGGCATTTTATGGCAATCTGATCATCCGATACATCTTGCTTTGTGACCCACTGTGCTAAGGGGGACCATTGACCTTAGCGGTGAAGCTGGGTCCGTCATGAACTTCCCTAAACAATCTGACCAATCTTGACAGTTTGCTCTAGTGTACTCCACTGCTCTAAGCGTACAGAACTTCATGCGTCAGTGATACTAAGAAATTTGGTGAGGGTCACATTCCCGTGGGTTACTCAAGGATCGGTCATGGTCTCAGGCTTCTCTGTGATGACAGATCACCCAGATCTGCTGTGTCTAACACTGTGCCTCACCGGGTATTTCTAAAAATGTATCCAGGGGAAGGGGGACAAATTTGCCATCACACAAATTTGTGAGATAATAAGATATCTTATTATCTCATTCCTACTTTGGACAAACTTGCAGGCTATCGAATATAGCCTGCCCACAGGGCAGAGTCTGGCAAACTCCCCGTGGCACACCAAATATGCCAAATACCAGTAACAGTGATGGGTCTCATTCTCCTGAAGAGCCTTGAATATAATCTCAGGGCTAGGATGAATGAGACGTTACTGGGGCCTGCTCGAGGCAATCAACGACGAATAACAAATTTGTGGGATAGTTACGGTGGCCAATACTTTGTCTTGGAGCTAGAGCTAAGTTTTTAAAGGAATTTTTTGTTTGTTTCTGGATGTGTTTGTGTTGTTGGTTGTTGGGTTTGTTCGTTTAGTTTGTTTTGGTTTTTCAGTGCCAGGCATCGAACCCAAGACCTCAGACATGCAAGTCAAGCGCTGTACTCCAAAGCGTCGTCCCCAGCCCCTAGGAGCCAGTTATTTTATGGTCATGAGAACTTATCTGCTTTGTGCTTCTCAAATCTAACAGAGAGAAAGCTTTCCTAGGCAACTGTGGCTTATACCAAGTCCTTGTTCATTGTGCAGTCCTTGTGTAGCAATTTTCCAAACGTGATGTTACAGTTTGCTCAGTGATGGGTGAGACTTTAGACCTATAATCAGTAATTAATATATTTCTCTTTTGTAGATCCAAGTGGAGAATGCAATCCTGATCTCCGTCTGAGAGGTCACCAGAAGGAAGGCTATGGCCTTTCCTGGAATTCTAATTTGAGTGGACATCTTCTGAGTGCATCTGATGACCATGTGAGAGACTTCTCTTCCTAATCTTCTCATGTACCAGGACTCAGAGTGTGTCAGGAAGAGGTTTTCTGAGATAATACTACTAGAAAATTTCATAGGTTTTTTTTTTTTTTTTTGATCCTTGGAGTTTTAAAAGAGTATAACTCAAGGGGTCAGAGAGATAGTCCAGAGGGTAAGGTGCTTGCCCTTCGTGAGGCCAAGCCCCACCAGGAGTGATCCCTGGGCACAGGACGAGGCATAAGTACCCCCTACCCCCCTCCCAGCACATGTGGCCCCAAACCAAAAAACAAAACTTAACCAAACCAAACAAAAACCCAGTAAGTATAATTGGGTAGGTTTTAGTGTATTCACAGAGTTATGCAACTGTCACCCGTTATTCTGAACCTCGTGTTTCTGGGTCCCATGGGGCAATCCTTAAAAGGACCATGAAGTACCAGAATGCAACCCAGATCTTTCTGCTCAGCGTATGCACTTCAGTTCCTTGAGCTGTCTCCCCAGCCCATAAACCTTTCTGGTCAGATTTTACCAAAAGAAACCCCATATCCAGGCGCTCTTTGTTCCTCCTTTCCCCCAGTTCCAGGCAACCACTATTTTCTCTCTCTTAGACTCATCTATTTTGGGAGGTGCAGGGCCGGGCCTCCCAAGGAGTGCTCCCGAAGTTTGAAGGTAGAGTCAACTCTGGCAGGACGTGGCCTGGCTCAGTAGCCTTGGCGGTGCTGGGGCTACAAGGCTTTCCCTAGCAGTGCTCAAGGGTTCCTGTCGAGATGGAGGGTGAACTTCGGGCCTCCTTATACAAGGTTTGCGCTCCAGCCCTTTGAACACTCCCTGGCCTGAATTTGTCCATTTTTCAAAATTGTTTTTGGTGTTTTGGGGTCATACCTGGCAGTGCTTAGGGCTTACTCCTGGCTCTGTATTCAGGGATCACTCCCGGCAGTGCTCACAGTGCTATATGGGGTTCTAGGACTCAAACCATGCGCAAAAGCAAACACCCTACCCATCGTACTATTATTGCTTTGTGCTGTCCTTTTTAAAAGAGTTTCTATTGGGGGGTTGTAAAGGGGGCCACATTTGGTAATACGGGCAGGACTTCTGGTCCTGTGCTTAGGGATCACTCCTGGCACTGCTTAGTCGATCAGCCGTATGTGGTGCCAGGGATCGAAACCCAGGTCAGTCGCAGACAAGGCAAGTGCCTTACCCTCCGCACTATCTCTCCAGCCTGAATTTGTCTATTCTTGATGCTTCATGTGATGGAGCCATTCAGTATGTTGCAGTCTGTTTCACTAAGCAATGTTTTCTAGGTTCATCCATGTTGAAGCATGGATGAATGTAATATCACCATCTATCCGTTTAATAGCGGGCGGACATTTGAATTTTCACTTTGGAGCTGTCGACATTCTGTACAGGTTTTTGTGTGTACGTGTTCTCATTTTTTAAGGTAATTAACCTGGGAGTGGAATTTATGGAGTCACATGGTGACTTTAATGTTTTGAAGATCTACCAGCCTTTCTGCAGCAACTACACCACTTTACATTGCCATCAGCAATGTGCCAGGCTTCCACTTTGTCTGCCTCGTAGCCAACACTTCTTGTCGCTGATACCCTTCCCCGTGGATGTGAATGAAATGTCTCGTTGTGGTTTTGATTACTGTTTTCCTAATCACTAAAACTGCTGAGCATTTTTTCTCATGTTTCTTGAGTATTATTAGCACATCTTAAGTGAGAAAATGAGGATTTCAATCCTGTGTTCATTCGGTAATTTTGGTGTTTTGCGTTTTTGAGTTGTAAGGGTTCCCTATGTAGTCCAGATACAAGTTCATCAGGTGCACAATTTCCAAAAGTTTCCCCCATTCTGTGGATTGCCTTACTTTTTTGATCATGTCCTCTAAACCACATAAATCTTTCCTTTCGTGTTCAATTTGTCATTTTTATTCTATCACTTGTGCTTTTCGTATTGTATCTGAAAAATAGTTGTGTGATCCAGCACCATACGAGTTCATTTTTGTCTGTAATACGAGGTGAATCCCATACTTTTAGCAGACAGCATTTGCTATGACTCCAGCCAGAAACTGAGAGTAAACTTCCAGAGGTTTTGGACCCCCCACCCGTAACTTGGCCACAGTGTCAGCTTTAAACAGAGCAGGTTCCTTACCTTTGTCCTTAGTGTATTCCTGTTCTAGAGAAGGACCCTGGTGCCCCAAGTCTTTATTTTTGTGAAACTCGTTGAAAGGAAAGAATGTACTTCGCCCAGTTAAGATTCTTTCATTGTTGCTTGTTCTCCAAGCCCATATTCTCCCTTGAACACATGTCTTGCTTGCTGTCTCTGATGTGTCTTTGCATGCTTGCTTGTTTGTTCTTTCTTCCTCTTTTTTTGGGGTGGGGGGGCTTTTTGAGTCACACCCCGGCGTTGCTCAGGGGCTACTCCTGGCTCTGCTCTCAGGAATGATTCCTGGTGGTGCATTTACTCCAGTAAAAGCGATCTTGCTTCACTTTCAAAAGGTTACTTAATTGCAAAGGACAGAATTTTGATTTAATTTGACTTGGGTTGTTTTAAACAGAAAAGGAATTTCTCGGAGTGGTATTTGTTCACAGTATTCCTCTGGTGACTAGAAAATAGTATGGAAAGGGCGAGAGAGGACCCTGCTTCAAAGCTACAACCCATATCAGACCAGTGACCTCAAATGGAGAGGAAATGTTTCTCCCTCCCACTCCATCCCCACAATAATCAGCAGAGCCTCTGCTGTTACCCTTCATAATTCAAGGGTCTGGAGAGCGCTTATTTAGGCTTCTGTAGTCCTCCACAGGGCCACAAGGATCTGCTGTGGGGTGTGATCACTTCCTCAGAGTGGAACCTGGAGAGTGGACCCCAAATAGGAAGGGGTATATTCACTTAATTATTGGTATCTTGTAAAGGCATTAGCCCGGGCATTGCTAGGCACCGGTAGTCACTGACTTCCAGACTCCGCCTTGCCAGGTATCTTGTTCATCATTTCATACTGTTGAAATGACTGGAGAGGAAGGCAAGAGTGCATACATGTCCCTTGCTCTTTTGATGGAGCATGTATATTGTGCATCAGAGTTTAACCAGATAGTAAAGGCAGATGTATTATGGGAAACAATAGCTATCATGGGGGAATAGTTTTTTGTTGGTTTGTTTTGTTTTTGTGTTTTTTGGGTTACACCCAGTGATGCTCAGGGGTTACTCCTGGCTCTGCACTCAGGAATCACTCCTGGAGGTGCTCGGGGGACCCTATGGAAAGCGGGGGATCGAACCTGGGTTGGCCGCATGCAAGGCAAGTGCCCTACCCGCTGTGCTGTCACTCTGGCCCTGGGGAATAGTTTTTGTTAGAGAAACATTCAACTAAGAAAGCGAGAGGCTGGAGAGAGGGCAGCAGAGTCAGGCGCTTGCCTTGCACGCAGCCCAACCAGGTTCGAGCCCCAGGTCCCCAAGGAGTCCCCTGAGTACCACAGAGCCCGGAGTAAAGCCCTGAGTACTGCTGGGTGTGGCCCAAAAAATGAACAAAGAGAAAGTTGGAAATGGAGAGGAAATCCGTAGATGTTTCAGTGGAATTAGTGCAAGTAAACCTTCATATAAATTAATGAATCTCTATTTTAAGCCATTGAATGGGAATTATAGCCGATGCTTATAGTAGGGTTTTTTCTTTATAAGCACTTTAGGCTTTCTTTCTGGCTCTTTTGGTATTAAGAGAGGAGCCTGCTTCCAGAGTCTTCTGACCTCTGATCTTTGAGACCTGGGGAAGGCCTGGTGACCTCTCCTTGGGCTGTGCCTGTGTTTGGAGGATGAAGCTATTGGATAGAACTTGTCATGGGGCCCTGTCTGTGGGCCTGTGCTCTGGCCGCCCAGAGTGGCCGCTTAGGGACTTCTGTGTCATTGACTTACTGCTACTTCCTGAGGGATACAGTGATTTCTACCTATCAAGAAAGAGGCTTGTTAAAAGGTGTGGGTTTTTTTTTTCTGTTTTCTTTATTGTTCTTGGGGATTGAACTCAGGGCCACATGCACACACAAGTCACAAGTGCTCCACCACTGAGTCACCTCCCCCGCTGCAGAAGGCTTTTACTTTTCAAGTGACATGTACTTCTCGTGGTGGTCAGTGAGCATACGGGCTACCAGGGATGAAACCCAGGTGGACTGTGAGCAAGGCGAGCGTCCTATCCGCTGTCCTGCCACGAGTTCTCTAGTGAGGGTTTGTAGGAAGTTGAGGGAGTCTCCGTATGTCATCTGGATGGATTTTTTACTACTTGACTCATTATAAGTGGCAATTCTAGCCTGAGCGTTCCTGGCCTGCCACTGTGCTCCTTCTCCTCCTGTCTTCAGCGCTGGCCGTTTCCCTTGTCTCCATCCTTCTATCTTACATCTCAGTTGCCAACACGTACTACTTTGTGGAGTATGTGAAGCTTCCTTTTATCGCCTTGTGTTCATTTGTAACTCCTGTATTGGCATTTAAATGCGATCTCTTGGGGTTTCTGTTTTCTCCTTCAGACCGTCTGTCTGTGGGATATAAATGCAGGACCAAAGGAAGGCAAGATTGTGGATGCTAAAGCCATCTTCACTGGCCACTCGGCTGTGGTGGAGGACGTGGCCTGGCACCTGCTGCACGAGTCCTTGTTTGGATCTGTTGCTGATGATCAGAAGCTGATGATGTAAGGTGGCCTCTTGTTACAGGGGTGTCGGGAAAGACCATCAGGGTGCGGGTTGAGAGCTTTGTATTTTCAAAGAGCGAACAGCTTTTGTGAGGCCTCAGAGAGACTCTGGATGGCCATTTTTCCATGAATGCAGCACAGGAGCCAGCTGTTTCAAAACAACACGGCGGGTGACCGGCAAGCAGCATGTTCTGATGCTGGTGTCAGTGACCATCAAATTTGGGGTGCGAACGACGTCAGGGGCAGAAGGTCTGCATCAGGGTTGTCCACAGGGTGGCATTCAACTATGTCAGAGGCTCCTTCCTCAGTGAAACTAGGACCCTGAGCAAACCAGTCACAGCAACGAATGCTGTGATTTGACGGGGTGAGGTTTTCAGAATCAGACCTCAGATTTCCTACATGCTCTGCATTTCGTGGATTCTTGAAGTGATCGAGATAGATGTAGTACAAGTGAGAAACCAGGAAGTATGGCGCAGTATCCCTTGGTTGTTTTTGGTTGGTTTAGAAAGCATCACGTAGTAAGTCTACAACTGTACCTCATGGTGTTTCACTAATAAAAATTAAAAAAAAAAAAGCATCACGTAGTGGTGGGAAATCTCAAATGCCAATGTGGCATGGTTGGTTTTCTTCGTGGAGGGGCCAGTGTAGGGCAGAGAAAGCCACGTGAGGGCTGGGAGGGGCCTCTGCTGTGAGCGTGTGCCTCTTCCTTCCCAGATGGGACACCAGATCCAACACCACCTCCAAGCCCAGCCACCTGGTGGACGCGCACACCGCCGAGGTCAATTGCCTGTCGTTCAATCCCTACAGCGAGTTCATTCTTGCCACTGGCTCTGCAGATAAGGTTTCTGTGTTTTTGTGTATTTGGTGTCTGTATGCTCGGTCAGCATCGCGGACTTCAAAATCCTCTGTGTAGTGCAGAAATGACTTCATTTGTTGTTTTTCTTCAGACTGTAGCTTTATGGGATCTGCGCAACTTAAAATTGAAGCTCCATACCTTTGAGTCTCATAAAGATGAAATCTTCCAGGTAAGTGACAGTTTTCTGAACATCTTCACCAGGTTTTTTTAGTAGCCTTTTGTTGGGAGGAAAATTTCATTCATCAGTAGGCCTAGGATTTTTTTTAAAATAACACTTCCGCTGTTAAGAATTAGTGGAAGGGCTGGTGCCATAGTACAGCGGGTAGGGCGTTTGCCTTGCACGCGGCCGACCCATGTTCAATTCCCAGCATCCCATATGGTCCCCTGAGCACCGCCAGGAGTAATTCCTGAGTGCAAAGCCAGGAGTATCCCCTGAGCATCATTGGGTGTGACCCAGAAAGCAAAAAAAAAATGTTAGTGGAAATTAACTTAGGGCTTTTTGAGAGAGAATTCAGAAGTAGAAGGAAAAGCCTCACAAAGCAGGGTCAGTTTAAAGAGTGAAACCCAGGGTATGCCAGCCCAATGGGGAAAGAATTCCTTCTTTGATGTCTGGAGATTTGTGTTGGTTAGCATACATTTCAATGAAAACTTCAGAAGCTTCTGGGTGGGTTAGAGACTGGAAAAGATTATCGGGACCCCCGCTGAGTTCCCTGTATCAGGGAGTGTGAGCTTCCTAAGGACTGTCCCACAAAATGGGCCATTGAAAGAACATTTAAAGGATAGGAGAGGGGTGAGTGATTGAGGCCGAGGAGATAGGAAAGCATCAAGGATGACAGCTATGTCTATCAACCAGGAATTCATTGTCAAAATGTGTATTGCCAGGTCCACTGGTCTCCACATAATGAAACTATCCTGGCATCAAGTGGTACTGATCGCCGCCTGAATGTGTGGGATTTAAGGTAACTCGAGCCATTGGCAAGAAACTGCATAAATATTAATGACTTTTAAGTATCTTTCTCAAGTGTCTGCTCTCGAAAATAGAAGAGAACCAGCAAGGGAGCCATAAAATAAATTTATGCCTTCTGAGTTTTGTTTTTCTTTTGATACCCATGTGTGAATATGTGTATTAGTGTGTTTTAACATCCAAAGAATTTGCTCGAAAACACTTGCGTAGGAAGGGGCTGGTTATTGGGTTTCTTGGGACCTCGCTGCACATCTCAGCGTTAGCCTTTCTCTGAGGTTTTGTCCCATGTGCTCTGTGGTCATTGATCATTGCTCTGATTTATCGAACTGCAGCAGACAAACTGAGGCCAGAGATCAGCACAGTCCATGCTTGGCAGCGTGTCTTTTTCCGGGGGACTCGTAAAAGCCCTTCGAAGGGGGAATTTCAGCCTCTTTTTATCTTGCCTTTTCGGTGGACATAAGTGGGTGGTTTGGGAGAACCGTGTCCCACGAAGCTCATGAGTCTGTCAATGCTGGGGACTCGGGGCCCTCCTGCAAGCTTTGCATGTGCTGAGTGAGGCCATTGAATTCTGACAGCCACCTGTTGTTTGGCTCTTTGGAACGACTCAGTTGTTGTGTGTTTTCTGAAAAAATTTTTTTTACTTAATTCAGGGCTGTAGCGATAGCACAGCGGGTAGGGCGTTCGCCTTACACGCGGCCAACATGGCTGACCTGAGTTCGATTCCTCTGCCCCTCTCGGAGAGCCCGGCAAGCTACCGAGAGTATTCGATATGCCAGACACAGTAACAACAAAGTCTCCAATGGAGACGTTACTGGGCCCGCTCGAGCAAATCGACGATCAACGGGAGGGCCTTTACCTTTACCTTACTTGATTCATGGGGTGGAGAAATAGTACAGGGGTGAGATGCTTGCTGAGCACGTGGCCACGCCCAGTTGATCCCTGTGGCACTGCGTGTCTTTCCTGCAAATATCACCAGTGCCCTTCCCGCTCACTGTGCTACTTGCTTTCACCCTAAACCCAAACCTTAATTACAGAGACAGCAAACCCAGCTCTGGGGGCAGAGAGATAATATAGCAAGTAAGGCGCTTGCCTTACCCACCTGTGCTTGACCCTCGAGGCTCCTACAGGAGCTTGAGCATCATGGGGTATGGCCCAAAAACTGAAGGGGAAAAAAAGAGGGAAACCGCACTTTCAGTATATGAAACAAACTGAAATAAAATGCTGGCACGACTATATTTGAAGCAATTTTAGTAGTAAAATTAAAAAGCTAAAAAAACCTGTTATTTGGTTCTTTTGATGTCCCGGGGCCTCACATAGGCAAGGTGTGTGCTCAGCCACTGACACGGCCTTGCCCCTTAAAGTCAAGTCTGTAGTGACTGTAAGCAAGCTTTGGAAATCTGGTGGCCCGAGCGACTGAATTGCTCCTAATTGATTCAAATAGCTTTAACTAACATTGGCGATTAGAAAAGTCAGGGGGTAGCGATTGTACTTCATTCTTGCACGTTTTGTCTGTTTTATGGGAAGGGGGTGAAATACCATTTGGAAGGTTGTATACTTTGACTAGCCACTACATCTAGCAAAGTCTGCCCTTGGACTAGGTACCAGACTCGGGTGTTGGTGTGTAGCTTTAAGAGTCATTTTATTGCTGGAGTGGAAAATCTTTTAAAATGAAATGGGTACTGGGGCTCACTCCTTTTCAAGCTCATATATGTTTCCAGGTTTCTTGGGGGCTGGAGAGGGAGCTCATGGCCCAATCATATCGCATTCAGGAGACCAGGGTTCAGTGCCTGGCATTGCACGGGTTCCCTAAGCACAGCGCTTGGAGTAGACCCTTAGCACCTCTGTGTGTGGTCCAGAACCCCAAAACACAAATTTAAAATGTGATGCTTGGTGTGGGGCGGGTGTGTGCCAGGCACTGAAGCCTAGGGCTCCCACGTGTAGAGCATGTACTCTGCTCCTTGGAGCTTCTCTCCTTGTCAATTTTCCATTATCGTGCAGTAAACAACACATGAAGTTCATGCATTTAAGTGATGTTTATTAACGGTTGTTCTTATGCAGCCTCCGTGACAAATAGCTCATCTGTTTCTAGAAAGTAAGCTTCCTGCTTGCCATCACATGACTGATACAACAACTACTTTACAGCAATATGTAGAAAAGAAGTGTTGCATAGTGGTGTTGCGAACACTCGTGCTGTAGGACTGTCGCTAATGAATGCATTGTGTTCTTCGTAGCAAAATCGGAGAAGAGCAGTCTGCGGAAGACGCCGAGGACGGGCCTCCAGAACTGCTGGTATATATCCTGCTCTGTCATGAATGCATTTAGCCGGAGATTGAGGCAGACTTTGAAATTGTAGATCTGGAAGATGTTTTCCAAATTGGAGGTCACTTGTAAAATTGGGTTTTGACATTTATTGAAAATAGTAAGCAGGCCGGTGGGTTCTTACAAATATTCATTTCACTAAGGTTAACATTTGTGGGCTGGAGCGATAGCACAGCGGATAGGGCGTGTGTTTGCCTTGCACACAGCCAACCCGGGTTCGATTCCTCTGGTCCCGCACGGCCGAGCCTGGCAAACTCCCTGTGTGTATTCGAAATGCCAAAAACTAACAAGTCTCACAACGGAGATGTTCCTGGTGCCCACTCGAGCAAATCAATGAAGAAGGGGAGGACAGTGTTTACAAGGCTAATATTCAGTTCTTGGAAAATGGTGTAGTAATTTCTCACTGATACTGAAATACTGAAATTTTTCTGAGGATGGGTTTTTGTGTTGTTTTTTTTTTTTTTTCCCTGGTGTTAGGGTATAAGGAACAGCAGGGGACAGGCAGTGGGACTCGGAAACACTTAACACCAGCAGTGCGGAGAATAGTTCGTGATGATTATATAAAATATTTCTTTTTTGAAACGTTCACTACCTGGCGGTGCGTCTTCAGCCTCTGGCCGCCATTGGTCAGCATCTCCGCCTCTTTTCTTGGTCCCTCGAGGTCTCGGTAGTGTTAGTCCTCATCCTGCTCTCCTGTAGTGTGTGCTCTTCGAGGCACTTCTCCGAAGCGTTGCCAGACTTTGCAATGGTTCTTTGTCCCTGCTCTGAACACATCATTTGTCTCGCCCAGTCGTTTGGCAGATCATCATTCATTCGCCTGATGCGTAGTTGGCTCTCGGGCTAGGCAGTGACTTTTCTTTGTCCGCCTGTGTTGTGCACAGTCCTTCTCGAGGTGAAGGCGGCCCTTGAGCAGGAGTGCTCAGACTTGCAGAAGAGGCTTCCCCAAGTTCACTGTGGCCACAGCCGAGACCCCTTTGCTTCCTCACCCAGTAGATGCTGTGCCCAGCCTCTCAGGTAGAAAGCGGCAGAGCAGAGAAATGAGAGCGCTGAGCCAGGTTAGAAGTGGCAGAGCTAGTGTCACAGTCTCTCCTGGCCTGCTGCCACCGAGATGGGCAGGGCGGGGTGGCCCAGCAGTAGCGCTCCAGTGCGGTGGCAGTTCTGGGAACTCTCGTGCCAGGGGTTGAACCCAGGGCCTCGCGTGTAAGGCTCTATCACTGAGCCACGCCCCTGGTCCAAAATGGGTTCTTCTAAATTGGGTGACTTCAGCTGAGTTTGCTCTGTGATCGAGTTCATCGGAGTGTTAGGAAGTTTGAGGCTAGGTGCTGCTACCAGGGAGTTTTTGTTATATGTTGGTATAATGTTTTTTTCACTGCTCTTACTTTGGGTGAGGGGTGGTTTGGGGCCATACCCAGCAGTGCTTCCAGCTCCATGCTTTTGACAGTGCTTGGGTGGGGAAGGCCTGCAGTGCTGGGGTTTGAATCCTGGCCTTCTGCATACTTTGCATGCCTTCAGCTGGTTAAGCGCTCCCCCTGGCCTCTGTAATAACTTTATTCAATATCATACAACTTAGTGACGGAAAGGGTAGTTTTCCGTAGCTTTTGTACATCAGAATGTATAGCCATTACCACAAAACATTTTCAGAATATTGTTTGCCTTTTTAGAAAAAGACAAATGAAAAAACACTGTGGGCAGGAATGTGGCTCAGTGGAAGAACACAGAGCTCAAGTGTATGAGGCCTTGGGTTCAATTCCCAGCACCTCCCCCCCCTTCCCCCGCCGCCAAAAAAAGAAACCCAGAAAACAAAAAGCAGTATGCCTTTTAGCACAGCCCAGCCTCTTTCCCCAGCCTTTGGTACCCAAGAATCTACTTTTTGTGTCTCTCGATTTTTCTGTTCTAGAAGTTTCATATAAATAGAAACGGTGTGTGGTCTTTGTACTGATTGTTGCAATTATCATAATGTTTTCGAGGTTTCCAGCTACTTTTTTTATATCCCAGGGAGAGGAGAGTGCCACTCTGTGTCTTATGGCTCTGTAGCAATTTTGTAGTCTCTGAGAAAATCACCAGGACTTTGTCTTTTATCACAGGAGCCTAAAATTGAGATATTTAAGCGTATTAAATTGGTTACTAGCTTCCGTTTGACGATCATTTAAATCTTGAAAACTGTATATGTTCCCAGTTAATGGTGCTAATGGTGCTAAGATGTTTTTATCTACATATCCCTTAAGGCTGTCTGGGAAAGCTGTTTGGTCCCATCTTAGTTTTGTTGTATTATTTTTTGGGCCGCCCTTGGCAGGGATCAGGGGACCATATGGGGTGTGGGGAATCAAATCCAGGTCAACTCTGTGCAAGGTAAGAGCCCTGCTTGCTGTACAGTCTGGCTCCCATTCCACTCTTCTCTTATTTTTATTTAACTGGTAAAATAGTTGCATAGAACTGAATTGGCAGACAGAGCTCATTGTCAAAGGTGGGGACAGGTCTGTCAAGAAGTAGGACTTCTGCTTCTGCTGAGGCTTCCTTCAGGCCAGGGGAGGGGCCCACTCAGCCTTGGGGCAATATGCCTGGTAGAATGAGGGATAACTGAGGGGTGTTAGGAGCAGAGCATTGAAGTGGGGTCAGATCTGCTGAAGAACCAGAGTCCTCAGGCCACTCTTAGGGTGTCACCCAGTGGCCAGTGAGTGCCAGTTGGTGGGGGTGGTCTTGTGGGTGTGTCGGGATGGGCGGGTTGGCCGACTCCCCAGCACTGCTCAGGAACCTTTCCAGGTACTGGGGGTTGAATCGGGACTGGATCTCCATAGCCCGGTGTCTTTATTCTTAGGTGTTGCAGCCTGGCATACTTAGAAGTGAAGTGGTTCAGTGGGTGTGTTTGTAAGATTGTCTATTAATAAAATCCCTGTATTTGGAAAGTATAAGTGAAGGGTACTCTGTACCAGTCTATCACCTTTTTGGAAGGTTTGGAAATTTTCGAACTAGAAAGTGCAGGGGCGGTTACTTGAGTGGCTCTGTTCTCTCTCCAAACTTAGAGACAGTACTACCCCATTGAAGACTGATGAGCTAGAAATGAACTTGAAACACAAGAAATGTTTCCAAACAAGGCTTTGCTGTGTTCTTTTGACAGTTCATTCATGGAGGGCATACCGCCAAGATCTCCGATTTCAGCTGGAACCCCAATGAGCCTTGGGTCATTTGCTCAGTGTCTGAGGATAACATCATGCAGATATGGCAAATGGTGAGCCAAAGGGTTGATACTTAGCGACGAAAGGGTGTAATTGGAGTATTTCAGTTATTGGTGACTACTCTGCCAGGCACTTCTAGGAAGGAAACACTACATTTTAACAAGTGCAGGTCAGAAGAACCCCGTCTTGATGAAAACCCAGCATCTGCTCCCATTTCCAGGCTCCTTTTCGCACTTGGGTGTTGGCATGGCAGACACCACATGTGACAGTCACACAATCAGTCCCGACCTAGAGCCAGCAAGGAGTTGGAAGGAAGCAGAGCTGTGGCTCCCTCTCAGCGGAGAATGCTCTGGAAACACCTTTTAGGGACAGTCGTTGAAACATACCTAGTTACTTGACAGTAGTGCAGAGGGTAGGGCACTTGGCATGCGTGCAGCCAACGTGTGTTGGAGCCCCAGCATCCCGTATGGCCCCCTGAGCACAGTGGTGTGGTCCAGAAAACCAAACCTGGAGTGGCTAGCTGCATACATTGGTAAAAAACATTGGAGAACACTGGATAAGATGATCTGGTGAAGAAGAACCTTCCTTGTGGAGAAAACCCAAAACAGAAAAAGTTTTGCGTGAATTGCTTTTTAGACAGTGAATCCCAAAACCTGGGTAGACCATTATTTGATGTTATTTTTAGACAAACTTGTGAAAACAACAGGGATTTACACATTTATTTGGTTGTCACCTGCAGGCCGAAAACATTTACAACGATGAAGAGTCGGATGTCACAACATCGGAACTGGAGGGGCAAGGATCTTAAACCCAAAGTACGAGAAGTGTTTCTGTTGAATGTACTGCTCCGTGAATGCTTGGTTTATCAAGCACCCAAATGCATTTGTATAGTAGGAAATGTAAGTGGGATGGCAAAAGGCATTCTTTTATCTTCTGATTCTAGCACTTTCAAGTGAGCTGTTGCGTTCTGTATCATATTGTAGCTTTTAGGAAAGAAAGGAATGTTGCTTACAAGGGGTCATCTGGTTGGTTGTTTTAAACTACAAGTTAGCAGGGTACTGCCTTTGATTCAAGTATTTTAAGTCTTTGTTTTCTCAAACTAAGTGCTTGCTGTTCCCAAATACGCAAGAATAACTTTTACACTCCCTTCCCCCTCCACTTGATTCCCCCTCCCTCTCCCCTCCTCCCCCCCACTTGTTGATTGGCTTTGCAGAAATAAAGTTTTAAAATATAAAGGTCTGTTTTATTACTCGGGCAAGGCTGTGCTGGTGTACACATTGAAACCTAGCTGGGAAGCCTGGCATCTGACAGAATCCTCAACCTACAGCTATCTGCATACATTTCACATATTTGGCTTACCCACCTGATCTTGGGCGATCACGATCACGACCATCCTGTTGTTCGTCAATTGCCTCGAGCAGGCCCCAGTAACCTCTCCTTCATCCTAGCCCTGAGATTTTAAAAAGTGCCATTTTCAAGGCTCTTTCAGGGTTAGGAGAATGAGACCCATCATTGTTACTGGTATTTGGCATATTGGGCACACCACGGGGAATTTGCCAGACTCTGCCGTGTGGGCAGGTTACATTCGGTAGCCTGCTAGGTTGTCCAAAGTAAGAATGAGATAATAAAGTGTCGTACGGCCACAAATATGGCCACGCACTTCCGGGAGCTGGGTTTTATAGTCTCTGGGTCTTGGTGCCAGGGGGCCAGTTGGTGGGTGTGACCCCTGCCTACTGGAATTTGGATCTTGGGCAGTTTTAGGAAATTGGATTTTGAACTTAAAGCCTGAGGTCCTGAAAGGCTTTTACCTTTTTAGAAAATGGGGCTGGAGCCATATTACTCTGGGGGAGGGTACTTAAGCAACCTGTGTTCAAGTCCTGGCATCTCATATGTCCCTCAAGCCCATGAGGAGTGGTTACTGAGTGAAGAGCCTGAGCGTTGCTTAGGTGTGTCCACAAAAGCAACCAAATGAAAAGATTTAGAAAAACGGTGCAGAGAGACCTTGGGTGGCAAACCAAGCCTAAAGGACTAACTCTCGACAGAGTTCACCGACCCTCCTGTGGTAACATCGTGTGTCCTGGCATGTGTTAGTCCTGCTGAGTTTCTGGATGATTGTAGCTATACCATTTTCTTTCTCCCTTGCCTAATTTTAAAGGCAAAGTACAATATTGGTACTTGGTGGTCACATGGGTAACAGAATACACAGAAGCCTAGTAGATTTATCATACATATTTACTTAATCTATACAGAATCGGTAGATAAAATCAGATTCACATTAGTGAAAAATCTCTACAAAATGTCTTTTGAAAAGCAAAACAAGACTGCCTCAACAATTCGTATCCTCATGAAAGACGTGGGCTGTAAAAATAAAGCAGTGTGTTTATTAGCACAAACTAGAAGATAATCTGCATTTTTCACAGTTATTTCCATCTACAGTCTGAAAGAGGTAGATTTTTTTTCTGCAACACCTGAGAATTGGATTGTGATAACCAGGTGTAATAAAGGCAGTTGCATACATAACTAAAATATACTGGTCTCAAGACCAAGCAACGTCCTACAACTCTGAGAATGAAATGGTTCATTACCCAAGACCTGACTAGACTCTTTGGAGTCTACCGCCACTAGAAACACACACATACTCCGTGATGGTACAACAAGATGCAATTTAGGTGAACTGGACAGTCCTTTTGACCTGTTCTGGGCCAGCCTAGTAGCAATGCAATCTAGCAGGCAGAGCCGCCCGCACTGGCTGGTGGTGCAGTGATGGCTTTCCGAGGGTGTCCTTTGAGGAGCCCATTTGTTTTCACAGGATGTAATGGAGGGGAAGACTCCGAAAGGACAAATTCATCATCCCAGACAGAATCTATCCTTCAAACACCATGAAAGCATCTAGCCAAAAATACATAGGAAGCGGAGAGCAGCAGGCCGGAGAACTGCCAATACATTGCTCTGGAAAGCCCTTGAAAGTATGCAACAGGCCCCGGATTTTACAATCTTCCACATAGGACAAGCACCACAAAGGAATGTGGTGGGCTACATAAATGGCTGGATCAAGTAGTAAAAGCTACACATCCCCTGGTGGTTGTGAATGTGGTCATTAGTACTAGTTTGGAAGACTGCTACATAGCATAGTTTGGAAGACTGCTAATTTCCTTCGGAGGAAATGGGCCCAACATTTAGTAGCCAAAGGAAGTATCTGTAAGAGACTGTTGGGTAGGTGGGGTGGGGTGGGGTGGGGTGGGGGTGGTTGGTTCTGCTTACAGCTTTGACCAGTTAGTAACTCGCCTACTCGGCAGATGTTCCTCTCCCTCTGGCCCTGGGACTAATGTGACTGATGACTGATGGAGACGTGCAGCCTCCCTGTCAGGTCCTGGTCCCCTTCTAAAGGACAACTCAATCCTAAGGCCAATTTACACCATCGACTTGATGGCCCTTACTTGACAAACTTTGTTAAGCAGAAAAACAGAAAAGCCTTGAAAGTAGCTTTGCTCGGTGGAATGTGCTAATAACAGTTCTAATATTTGATTTGCATCAAGTATTTGATTTCCATAAGCCATGATTTCCATAAAGTATTTCAATGCAAGTTGTACTTTCATCCATGCAGTCTGATTAGTCATTTGCACTAACCTAAGAATGACGCACTTCATTTTGAATGCTCCCTCCTCCCAAGTGTTCAGACCTCGGTAATACTGGTTTGTTTCAACATTTTGACAGTAACTAAAAGGGTGAGAAAAAGACTGAAGGCATAAGCTATAGATCCTGACTGAGCACTGCCAAGTTTTCCCAAAATTCCAGTCGTGCGGATTTGGATGCCCTAGTTTTCGGTGTGGCTTCATAATCCAAGTCCCTTTTCAAAAGAGCTGGAGAGCACTGCTGGTGGGACTCGGGGCAGATGACTCCTCGACCCCTCTCCTTCACAGTCCTCCAAACACACACTGGCTCTAACCAACCTGAAGTCCCACCGAAGTCTGTCTGTCCAATGACTTGCTAGTAAAGATTTCCACTTTGCTAAAACTTTTAAGGGATTTGGGTTCGAGACCGTATCAGTTTGTCAGTAGAAATACCAAAAAAAAAAAAATCAATTTGAAATGCTATGCATGTTTCTGACCCAACACTAGCTTTACTTTTACTTCGCGTTTAAGTGGGCTTAGTAGCTAAAACTAATGTTGGTATTGTTTCCGAACTGAGTGGCGGGAGCCCAGGATGCTGGGATGGGCCTATTTCACAGCAAAGAATAAAGGTTCCTTGGAAAGGCTGGTCCTATCTTGAGTGAAATCTGGAGTTGGGATAGTCCTGTGTGAGGAGCAGGGAGGGAAAGAGAAGGCAGTGACTACATGCATTCCAGTGAAGGGGAACGAGGCAGGTGGTGTGCAACAGAGCTGAGGAAATGTAGAATACAACTATCGGAAACTGCGAAGCAGCCTCCGGTACCATGGAAGTCCAGCAGTTCTAAGAAAATACAGATATGGTAGAAAAAGTAAAAATTTTCACCACAAAACCAATAGTTACTACTAACAGAGAAAGTTATACACAAAATAGAGCTCTCCGTACAGTGATCACACTTTATCTTAGTCAACGGACTCGATGGCAGGGGTGGGGACACAGGCAGGGGCAGCTTCCGGCCCCGAGGCACAGCAGGGTGCCCCGTCAGGGCCACCCCCCTTCAGGACTTCCACCTTCTCGCTGAGCTCGTTCCTCTCCGTCTGCAGGGCGCGGCACAGCTTCTCTAGCCGGTCAACTTTGTTCTGAAGGGCCTTGCACTCTTGATCACGCACTGTTTTCTGGAGGAGACACAACGGCATTTATGTAACCTGGCTGAATATAAATTAGGTCGCTGCATGCGAAACATCTGAGCCAGAATGCAGAGTACTCGTCTCCACGCCTCTTGAACGCGTGCAGGTTCTTTGTTCTAACATCCTGGCTAACTCTGTCACCTATGTGCAGCGGATCCGCAATCCCTTTTGTCCTACGATGGCGAGGCTTTAAGTCCTGGGGAATATTTAGAAACCTAACTGGGATCCACTTCACATGCAGTTTGGGATGGGCACACGCTATGAAGGAAATGCCAGATACGCGTTACGCCGGACAGGCCTGACTGACAGCAGGCGTGGATTCGGCCCAGCTCTTCAGACTCACATTCAACTAGGCCATCGGGCTGGCCAAAAGCTCTCGGCGCCTCCCACGCACCCCTGCTGGCAGGGCTCAGCAGGTTGGGGGTGGGGGGGCCTTCCTGCACCTGCACCTGCACCACCCAGCCACTCACCCCCAGCTGAGCACCTCACCTCTTCGGCCATTTGCAGAAGGGCTTTGTTATTGTTCTCCCACTTGCCGCGCCAGACTATTGTCTCTCTTTCCAGTTTTTTGATTTTCTTTGTCATCTGTGAATGGACATAGTTGCACATTGATACTCGCCCATCGCTGACCTCCCCCAACCTGACACAGTGTCTCCCTGCCCCCCGCTGCTGCACCTGCCTCCTCGGATGACAGCTGCAGGGCCGCGGCCGGGCTTATCTCAAGCTGCTCAGAGCGGAGCAGCAGGAAGCAAGGTGAGGGAGAAAAACAAAGCCCGTCTCCGTTTCCAAGGCAGCGGCAGCACTTGACCTCCCAGCCAAGCTGGCGCAGCCTCCGTGCCAGTGCACACGGTGGGGGCCGGGGGGGGGCACAGACCTTCTCAGGTGGCCCCCGGGACCAACGGATGCTCCAGCCTGCGCCACGGTACACAAGTGGGCCAGTAACGTCTCCATTGTGATGAGTGTTACTGTGTTTGGCATATCGAATACGTCACGGGGAGCTTGCCAGGCTCTGCCATGCGGGCGAGATACTCTCGGTAGCTTGCCGGGTTCTCCGAGAGGGGCGGAGGAATCGAACCCCCACAGCAGGGCCAGCCGCGTGCAAGGCAAACGCCCTACCCGCTGTGCTATCGCTCCAGCCCATGGCACAGGGCAGAGAACAGAAACCTCCCTCGAAAACAGAAACGGAGCTGGTGCCCATTTTACTTTGCCACCTCCAAGGCCACGCCTGTCTCCGAGCTCGAGTCAACACAATCCAGGGGCTATCCCAGTGAGCGAGAAGAAAAGAGAAGAACCCTTCATCTCGGTCATCATCAAGACTTTGATTTCCTGAGCCAGAAAGTGGAAGGACTGCACTCATTTGTGGAATATAAAGTAACAGAATGGGAGACTAACACCCAAGGAAAGTAGAGATAAGGGCCCGGAGGATCGCTCCATGGCTTGGA